CTGACTCTCACTGGGGTATGGCTCCCACACACACTGACTCTCACTGGCGTCCAGGATGTTGTGGATTCCCCCACACCCCTGAACATTCCCACCCTGATTCCGCACAGAGCCAGACGAAGATTCTCGCTGCTTGTAGGGAGGCAATGTTCTCACTGGACTGTTAATCCAGAGACTGAGTTCATTGTCTGGAGACCCAGGTTTGAATCCTGCCATGCCTGGTCCTCAGGTTCTACCATGACTGTGAATCCATTGTTGATCGTCTGAAAAACCCATCTGGTTCACTAATGTTCTTTAAGGAAGGAAACTGCCATCCCTGCCTGGTCTGGCCTCCATGTGACTCCAGACCCACAGCAATGTGGTTGACTCCCAACTGCCCTCTGGGCAATTAGGGTTGGGCAATAAATGCTGCCTAGCCAGCGACTCCCTCATCCCGTGAATGAATAAAAAACCTGCTCCCTGTATTTTTTGAAATATCTGGTGCCATAACCATTAATCGCCTGAATTCCTGGGAAGATGATCCTGGTTTTCTCCAGGTGTCTAGCCCCATTAGACACTTCCCTCTTGTTGTCCTAAGGGTGATCCCCAGAATTACTGACAGAGGCTTCTTGTGCACTGAGATCAGCCTCCATATCACTGAACACAACTCCAACCCCTTTGTATTCCCACATTCAGGTATTACTTCCCCTTGGAAAGTTCCTGTTGAATCTGCTCCTACACCTCTTGCTGACCGCATGTCCCAGATCACAACTCACTACATCAAAAACATTCTCCTCCTCTCCCTCTCTGGCTCTTTTACAGATTCCCTTCAATCTGTGGCCATCTGGTCACTGACCCTGCTGCCACCTTACCCTGAAATCTTACCCTGGGGTGGGTCTCATGACCAGCATCTCTTCTCTGTGTGTATCTGTGAAGTAATGATCATGTCCCTAAAATGCCCCATGTAGGTGCTGTCTGAGAGCTCCCTGTGCACTTACCCTTCGGCCTGGTTTCCCTGTTGGACCGGGTGGGCCTTGTCCACCTCTTGGACCCTGTGTTGAAGAGAGAGGATGATACTGTCAGTCAGTGTATAGCTGGAGCAGTCCTCTGAAATACATCATCCTCACTGTTGATGACTGGCCCAGCATTTATTGCCTGTCCCTAGTTGCCCTTTGAGAAGCTGGTGGCGAGCTGTCTTCTTGTACTGTAGTAACCCCCTAAAGATGTTAGGGAGGTAATTCCAGGATTTTGACTCAGCTACACTAAAGGAACGGTGATATATTTCCAAGTCAGGATGGTGAATGCTTGGAGGGAACGTGCAGAGGGTGGTGTTCCCATGTATCTGCTGCCCTTGTCCTTCCAGATGGAAGTGGTTGTGGATTTGGAAGGTGCTGTCTGAGGATCTTTGGTGAATTCCTGGACTGCATCTTGTAGATAGTACACACTGCTGCTACTGAGCATCGTTGATGGGGGGAGTGGATACTTGTGGATGTTGTGCCAATCAAGCAGGGGCTGCTTTGTCCTGGATGGTGTCAAGCTTCTTGAGTGTTGTTGGAGCTGCCCCATCCAGGCAAGTGGGGAGTATTCCATCACACTCCTGACTTGTGTCTTGTAGATGGTGGACAGGCTTTGGGGGATCAGGAGGTGAGTTACTCGCCGCAGTATTCCCAGCTTCTGACCTGCTCTTGTAGCCACTGTGTTTATGTGGTGAGTCCAGTTGAGCTTCTAGTCAATGATAACCCCCAGGATATCGAGAATAGGAGATACCTTGATGGTAACTCCATTGAATGTCAAGAGGCAGTTGTTAGATTTTCTCTTATTGGAGATGGTTATTGCCTGGCGTTTGTGTGGCATGAACGTTATTTTCCACTTGTCAGTCCAAGCCTGGATATTGTCCAGATCTTATTGCATGTGAACATGGACTGCTTCAGTATCTGAGGAGTCATGAATGGTGCTGAACATTGTGCAATCATTGGCAAACATCCCCATTTCTGACCTTATGGTGGAGGGAAGATCATGGATGAAACAGCTGAAGATGGTTAGGCCTAGGACGCTACCCTGAGGAACTCCCGCAGAGATGTCCTGGAGCTGAGGTGACTGACCTCCAACAACCACGGCCATCTTCCTATGTGTCAGGTATGACTCTAACCAGTGGAGAGTTGGCCTCTGATACCCACTGATTCCAGTTTTGCGGGGGCACCTTGATGCCACACTTAGTCAAATGTGGCCTTGATATCAAGAGCTGTTACTGTCACCTTACCTCTGGAATGGGCTGCTTCCTCAGTATTAACCCTCTGACAGTGTGGCATTCCCTGTTGTGCATGCCCTTGTGAAATGGGACTTGGTTCCTTGATGTTTTGGCCCCAGTGTTAAGGCAGGTATTTGTGACATTTAATTCATTTTATCGTCAAATGGTTTGTGATGGGTCCCCAGATGGGGACAGCAGGAATATTGAAGGTTCTGGGTGTAATGGAGCTCCCTGAGCTGGCCCCAAGAAAGCTTGGTTCAGTGTTTGTCTCTTACAAGTGGCACTGGATTTTTGTTCTGGCATACAGAGAGACTTTGAAGAGAATTTCGAGAAATCGCCACAAGGCAATCAAGATTAAAGATTAATTACTGTTACAAAGCGCAGTATTGGATAAGATGGTGTCCTGGAGTCTCACCTGAGGCCCAATGTCTCCCATTTCACCCTTGATCCCGAGATATCCAGGTGGTCCCTGGGGAAACAGAACAGACACTTACAGAAGCTCAGGTCAACACCAAGACCCCCACACAGTGGCTCCTTCTCAAAAACAAGCCCTTCCCACACACTGCTCTCCCTTGCAACACAATAGGCCTACCTGGGGTGAGCTGAACCACATGCTATCCCTGGCTTAGCTCCACCTACATGGATTCAACACTAATTCCAGCCTCCAAAAGCCTGTCCAGTTGCAGTCCAAATCCCAGTCCTGAGGCCAGTCCTAGGGCTAATCCCTGGACCACTCCAAGTCTCAGTCCTAGGCTCAGTCCCAAGCCTTGTCCCGGTCCAGTGTCAATCCCAAAACCAGTCCCAATCCCAGTCCAAGTCTCAGTCCCAGGCCCAATCCCAATCCCAGGCCCAGGCCCAGGCCCAATACCAATCCCAGGCCCGCTCCTTGACCTAGTCCCAGTCCCAGTCCCAGTCCCAGGCCCAGGCCCAGTCCCAGTCCCAGAAACAGGCCCAATCCCAATTCCAGTCCCAGGCCCAGGCCCATACCAATCCCACGCCCGTTCCTTGACCCAGACCCAGTCCCAGGCCCAATCCCAATCTCAGGCCCCGGTTTACATTCACTCACCCTCACCCATGCTGTCAAAGACAGGACAGGGTCATTTGGCCCATCAAGCTTTTCCTCTCAAGCGACATCCACCATTGACTGAATCTAATTAATTAATCCCTAAATTTCTCAAAGGAAATGAGGAAAAATTCAAGAATGTTCCATCTAAATCTTGATAACTCTCTGAATCATTCAGTTGTGGAACTCTTTTGTGGCTGACATTCTCACTTAACCACACAAACCCTGGGTCATGGGTCAGTCTCAGTTAAGGGTTATTTTCAGGTTGTACAACTCAGTCTTCAAACTGAGACCTCCCTGTGAGAGGCACCATCAGATTAACTCCCTCCACTGGGATAAGGCCATTCGAGACATCGAAGCTCCTACAGCCTGAGCCTTTGTTCAAACTCTGCCTGATGGTATGACAGATATATAACATTTTTGGAGATGATCGGGGTGAAGACCACACTCCCTACCCTCTCTTCATCTACCTTCTCTATCCTCTTTCGCCCTGCCTCTCGATTCCATTCTCTCTCCTTCATTACTGTCTTCCTCTCATCTCTTTTCCCATTCTTCCTGTTGTTCTTCCCGCCCTCATGTTTCCTCTCTCACTGCCCTCTCCCTCTCGAGTGGCCTTGCCCAGGGTCAGGAGGCAGTTACATGGGGTGCGTTGCCTTGAACCCTGAGTCACCCACTGACCCTCTTAAGAGAAAACAGTTTCCAAAAGGTGAGAGCATCTGCAACAAGGGAAACTGGTAATCCAAAAGTTCCCTCTCCCACTTGTAATCCAACTGATCTCACCCCCACTTGTAATCCAGTTGATCTCACCCCCACTTGTAATTCAATAGATCTCATTCCAACTGTAATCCAACAGATTCCACTCCCAATGGTAATCCATCAGATCTCTCTCCCCATGGTAATTCAACAGTTCTCACTCACCTGCTTAATAATCCAACAGATCTCTCTCCCTAGCAACACATCTCCTGAACTCTCACAGCCATTGGAAATGAATCATCGAACCAACTGGTTGCTGAACTGAGTGACTTGCAGCTTGGATTATGCCATTGGGGAAGGATAAAGAATGGGACGTACGCTCAGGGACAAGCCCCCAAACTGAAATCACAGCCAACCCCCCCGCCCCAATATTGGAGCTGACCACCAGCAGCACTTACAATAGGGCCTGGTCTTCCAGTTAATCCCATTGGTCCAGTTGGTCCTCTCAATGCCAGCTGTAAGAACAACAGACAGATTACTATCAAAACAAAACAAGCAGCAGGAACGGCTCCTTCACCCACTCCCACAGCTGGCTGTAATTCGAAAACCTCGGGAGAGTTTACCCCAGGTTTCTGTGTATCCTTTAATCAGCCATATTATCACTGAGCCGTTTATCACAGCTCCCTTAGCACACATTGGTTTTCCCATCAGGAGGTAATAGCAGCAATTGCAACATTATTCGCTGCTACATTCTCAAACAATGCAATCACTCCCTCAGCACTGACCCTCCGACAGTGCTCGCTCCCTCAGCACTGACCCTCCGACAGCGCGGCGCTCCCTCAGCACTGACCCTCCAACAGTGCGGCGCTTCCTCAGCACTGACCCTCCAACAGTGCGGCACTCCCTCAGCACTGACCCTCCGACAG